TTTATTTGTTTGTTTTGGATGTGGTATAATTTTCTTGTTAATGTTCTTCTTTCAGTCCCAGGGTTAAAAAGGCAAACCAGCATTAGTTTATATTGCCTCGACTCAAACAGAATGTGTTATCAAAAATTAATACGCAAAGTAGTCTACCTTTGTCCTTTGCATGAGAACATCTTTATCCAATACAAGAGCATGTAAGGAAGCATTACAATGTTCTTATTTTAGCTACGAAAATATTGTTCTGTTACCTGTGTGTGTCTTTCACAAAATAGCCTATGGCTTAAATTAAGCTAAAAAGTAAACCTAAAAAAGCATGATACAAACACAAAAACATCTTCTACTATATTGGGCTCAGCTACGACACCTTGCTAAAACAATGGAATTATTATTATCATTGTTGCTGTTGTTTGTTTGTTTTTTATCGTCGTTGATCTTTTTGTTATTGTTCATCTTACCTTCTTGTTGCGTTTTAATGATGTTATAATTAATATTATCATAATTATTATTGTTATACGAGTATCATCTTCGATGATGATGACGATTATCATGATTATCATCATCCTAATTACCTTGTTATCGGTAGCATTGCCATCATTATCGTCAATTACTGATTACCATTAGCATCGTCATTATCATCACTGTTGTTGCTGTTTTTGTAACGATCTTAACTACTTTCAGTTTCACCTACTCACTCCCTCTACACCCCCCCCCCCTTTTTTTTCCTCAGCACTATGAAGAACATGGTATACACGGTCTTTGAACTTACTAACTCAACGCTTTGTTTTTTCTTATATAACTGCGCATACGACTCCCAGTCTTTTTACGTGTCATGTAGGCTAAAGCCAGACAGTCCTCTTGTGTTTGAGTTTGCCGTGTGGAAAGAACTGTTTGCCCCTCTGGGACCGGGTGATAAATTATTACTCAAAGGGAGAGAGTTGTGGGCAAACAGGGACGGCCGTTGAAGCAAAGTTTGATCAGCTAGGCCTAGACCAGGGAGTTTGCTAGACCTTGTTATAGATCGACCCAGTGTGCACTGCCAACCAGTCGGATTCATTTGATCCAGTCGGGGTCAGCCACATTAATACCCTCCGGCTTGGGGGGCGGGGGTCGGAGGATAAAGGGGATCTATCATTTTGGCACAATACAATAATTGGTTCCACTCGTGACCATGAAAAACAAAAACGTTTGATTTTTGAAGATCACAGTCAAATTTAGATGAATTCTGTTCACAGAATTCTACACTTGTCTGTGTTTCTGTGATATTATTGTGCTAAAGTAGGCAGCTTTTGTCCCACCCATAAAGATAAATCTGGCTTTTGACTTTTGTACTAGGAATGTATAATTTTTTTTTAAATTCTTTTCTTACAATTTATTAGACTTTTAGAATTAAAAGGTTTTCTCTCTCTCTCTCTCTCTCTCTCTCTCTCTCTCTCTCTCTCTCTCTCTCTCTCTT